GGTGGTGCCAGGCCAGCCAAGGCAGGTGTGAGTGGGGGCCCCCTGATCGTCCTGCTAGTCATTCCATAGACACCAGTCACCCCGAGGAGAGAGGCAACTGGCGGTGGTGGGGCCAGCAAGTGGGCAGCGCCAGGCCAAGGCGGGTGCGAGTGGGGGCCCCAATCACCCCACTGGTCGCCCCACAGATCGGCCCTGGTCACTGGCCAGGCCTAGGGACCCTACCTGTGCACTAATTTCATGTACCAGGCCTCTAGTTAAATTAATAAACTGATAATGTATAACCTTCATTAAAACCAAAGATATTTGTCAGACATTTCAAGAAATGAATATTCCCCTGAACTACTATTATATACAGAAAAAACTATAGTTGACCCTTGAACAACACAGGGTTAGGGGTATCAACCCCTACACAGCCAAAAATCCATGTATAACTTTGGACTCACAAAACTAAATAACCAGAAGCCTTAATAATAACAGTCAATTTATATATATTTTGTATGAAATGTGTATTATATACTAGAGGCCCAGTGCACGAAATTTGTGCTGGGGGGGAGGGTGTCCCTCAGCCTGGCCTGCACCCTCTTAAATCTACATCCCTCTCACAACCTGGGACCGCTGGCTCCTAATCGCTCACCTGCCTCCCTGCCTGATCACCTCTAATCACTCTGCCTGCCTGCCTGATTCCCGTAACTGCTCCCCTGCCTGCCTGATCGCCCCTAACCACCTCTGCCTGCCTGCCAGATCATCCCTAACCGCCTCTGCCTGCCTGCCTTATCGCCCTAACTGATCTCCCTGCCGGCCTGATCCCCCTATCTGCTCCCCCATGCTGACCTGATTGCCGTAACTGCTCTCCCCTGCTGGCCTGATCCCCCTAACTGCTCTCCCCTGCTGGCCTGATTCCCCTAACTGCTCTCCCCTGCCGGCCTGATCTCCCTAACTGCTCTCCCCTGCCAGCCTGATTGCCCCTAACTGCTTCTGCCTCAGCCCCGCCACAGTGGCTTTGTCCGGAAGGATGTCTGGAAGGTCGTCCAGAAGATGTCTAGTCTAATTAGCATATTACCCTGTTATTAGTATAGATTCTTTTCTCTAGTAAACTAGAGGAAAAAATATTAAGAAAATCATGAGAAAGAAAATACATTTACAAAATTTATTGAAAAAAATATCCATATAAATGGATGGACCCATGCAATTCAAACCTGTGTTGTTAACACATTGCGTACCACATAGAAATCTCTAAGACATATGCCAGGGACCGCATGTTTTTGGGCAAACTGCACGTTATTTAAATCATCATAATGCACTTTAGGTGTTGTTTTTCAATAATTATAACATTTTTATTTACAAAAACAATTAAACAATTAAAGTTCCTAGTACTTTTTTAACGTATGGTACTGCGTAAAACATTTTCCTCTATGAAGAAGGACCAAACAAAATTTACATAAGTATCTAGATTCGCTCCTTTTTCCATGGGCGTGAAAAATGAGAACACTAGTGAGCGGTCCTTAACAGATGGCGCGAGAAACACGAGAAAACTCTTGAGCGGTACGAAATGTGTTAAGAGTCAACTGTAGCTGGGCTGGTATGGCTCAGTGGTTGAGCGTTGACCTATGAACCAAGAGGGCACCGGTTTGATTCTGGATCAGAGTCAGGACACATGCCTGTATTTCAGACTTGATCTCCAATGGGGGACATACAGGAGGCAGCTGCTCCATGGTTCTCTCTCATCGTTGATGTTTCTATCTCTCCCTTCCTCTCTCTTCCTCTCTAAAATCAATAAAAACTTTTTTTTTTTAGAATCAACTGTATATGTTTCACCTTGAATAAATGTGTCTCCTTGTGAAGTACTTGATCTTTCGTTATTACACAGCGTAATATTTGTTACAGGCGTCCAACATGCCCATTTAGAAGACATTTTATTTCCATGAATGTTGTATGAAACACCAGGTAACCTGGAAAATAAATTCATTTGCTTAATATATCATAAAACATTAGCTATAATTCTGACATAAGACTTCTTTTTTTTCTTAATGTAGTCAATGTTTATTGATAGCAATTTTTACCAGTCAAGTATGAAAATGTTTTAGTAAGTCATAGAAGTTAAAATTTACCATATAATTAATTAAATTAAAGATTAAAAAGTTCCATTATTGCTACTATATTTATATCTACCTAAATATATCTCATATAACTTACATGTTCCACTGTATATTTAAAGTAGGTTACATTTCTATACATTCATACTTTATTATTTTTAAAATCTCATTTATTTGAATCTCTCAATTTGAAAGTAGTTATGTTGGTACAAATGGACAAAACAGACTATTCCCCATTGTGCTATCATAATACTTGAGAGATGATTAATGCTATAAACAATCTATATAATAAAAGCCCAGTGACCGTATGGCAGAACGACCAGAATGACCGGTCGCTATGACGTGCACTCACCATCAGGGGGCAGACACTCAACGGAGGAGCCTCTCCTGCCTCCGAGGCAGCGCTAAGAAGTGGCGAGCCAAGTGGTAAGGAGCAAGCAGGTGGGCAGTTAGGAGTGAGCAGGCAGGCGGTAAGGAGCGAGGAGAGGGGCAGTTAGGAGCGAGCAGGCAGGCAGTTAGGAATGAGGGGTCCTGGATTGCGAGAGGGCACAGGCTGGACTGAGGGACTACCACCCCACACACACAAATTTCATGCATCAGGCCTTTAGTAAGACTATAAAGCCTTTTCCTTTAAATTTGTCACATTCATCAAAAAGTAAATATACATGCTTAAAAAATTGATGGGCTTTCTCATACTTACACAGATTTATCTATTTTCCCCACTGCTTGAGAACCACGAACACTATACTGGGATTCATCTAAATAAAACAAAAATTATGGTATTTTCATTTTTCATGCAGTTGGCAGGGTAAAATTGGTATAGATTTTGATCAAGGTTTACATATTGGGATGGAGAGATTGATTGATCGAGTTTTCCCGTTCTCAAACCCAAACTTCTTGGGAACAGAGAGTATATTATATTTCCTTGTAACCTCTAAGTTCCTTGCATAAAGTTGAATACATTTATTATAAATCTTTCTTTTTCAAATCAAAGAAAGCCAGTGTGGCAAAAGGAAATTTATAAAGAAGATTAAATCAAAAAGTACTTACTAAAATTTTGGTTTAGGAATTCAATGTTCTTATTTTCTGTCTTTTCTGCAATATCAGCAGTTTTGATATGCTATAAACACAGGAGACATGTTCATGTAAATTTGAATTAAGGTATTGTAGGAAAACAACTTTTAAAAGTCAGAATATTAAAGATTAAAACTTTAAAAATAAATTTGCTTTGCTATTAAAAGCTGGATAGTATTTCTATTTACAGTTGACCTTAAAACAAATTGGGGGTGCCCTGACGGGTTTGGCTTAGTGGATAGAGCATCGGCCTGCACATTGAAGGGTCCCAGGTTCGATTCCAGTCAAGGGCATGTACCTTGGTTGCGAGCACATCCCCAGTAGGGGGTGTGCAGGAGGCAGCTGATTGATGTCTCTCTCTCATCGATGTTTCTAACTATCCCGCTCCCTTCCTCTCTGTAAAAAATCAATAAAATATACTTTAAAAAAAACAGAAAAATATCACAGACATTCCAGAAAACTGGGATCTTAAGCCAGCCAAAGGAATGACATTTCAATTTTTCATTTTTATTTTTATATTATTATTTTGTTAGGTTTTTTTTTTGGCTTTTTTCTTTGTTTTCCCTTTTTTTTGTTTGTTGCTCTTTTTTTTTCTTTGCTTTTTTCTTTGTTCTCCTTTTTTTGTTTGTTCCTTTATTTCCTACTTATTTTCTAATTATTTTTCAAACACATGTGCGTTGCGCTCTTGTCCAGGGAGCATCAGCCCCGTGAGCAGCCTGCCTCGGGCCTAAGAGCAGCAGCCTCATGTGGCCTGCCCCTGTCCAAGGAACAGCAGCTGTGTGAGTGGCCCGCTTCCCCATCCGAGGAGCAGCAACCACTCGAGCAGGCCGACCTGTCTGAGGAGCAGCAGCCCTGCGCAGCCCGCCCCCATGTGAGGAGCAGCACCTGCGCACAGCCCACACCCTGCACTAGTCCGAGGAGCAGTAGCTGTGCAAGCATCTTGCCCTCATCCAAGCAGCAGCAGCCGCACGAGCAGCCTGCCCAAT